GTGAGAATTCTGACCTGTTTTGTGATGCATGTAGGGCAGTGCCTAGAAATACGAATCTAATTTAAAAAAAGAAAGTATTTCATCTTCATCTGTTTCTGCTGGCCAGGGGTAGCTGCCAGTACTTCTTCCCACACAAGTGCACCCCCAGCATCCCTGCTCTCCTGAGGCTGCTTCTACCAATACAAAGTGTCCCGTGGTCCTACTTGACACAGGACAATGCCTGTGTCCCTGCAGCCATGCAGGATGTTTCTTTTCGTGTGTTTGTTTTCCCTGTCTCTACTTTGTATCTAGGTAGATGCTGAAGGAAGCCTACAGGGACAGCAGGAAACTGAATCTGGTTGATGGCTTTTCCTTGTCACCTTGTCCCAGCTGTACTGGAGGTCACAGCATCCCAGGGTTGTACCTTGTCACCACAGAAAACAAAGGATATGATCCAGCTGGGGTGCTCTGGGCTGTTGGCATCCCCAAATGCTGTTAGTCCTGCCACACTCACTGCTTTCAGGGTCAGAGAAGTTAGTGGGTTTTATTTCCAACCCTAAGTCCTCTGAGCGGTATAACCTGAAGTCACTGTACCCTTGCCATGCTGGTAGTTCTGTGCATTACATTTTTAGGTATTTGAGGTCTCATAAATCCCTGCTAAAGGGAATTATATTTAGAAAGTATCTTGTAACATACTTAATGGCTGGTCACTTACCTTTCTGCATCTCTGAAAGACTTCCAGCCTCCTCCCCTGAGCACAAATTTGTCCTGTTGTGTTCTGACCTCTGCATAAATAAGGCCAGTATCAGTGTTTGTGGTTCAATAGTAAGGTGACTTCTTGACCTGTTACACAGCTCTCTTTTTCCCCAGTCTCTGTTATTCTAAAATTACATATCCCTGTTTTTTCCTCTTTAGTTTTTAGCTATTGTGTTATTGAGAGCAGCGTTCCAACAGATCTGAGTGGAACTGAATAATGGAGTTCTGCCTTCCTTAAAACTGCCATTGTTGTAGAATTTTCCATGTATGAATTTCTAGGATAATCTTAGATAGTGCTGTAAATTATGCTGTGGGCGAGTCAAGCAGTAAAGGGTGGCTTTGGCTATGACACCCTATCCAGCACTGTGATCACCAGTAGTGAAGTCTATGGACACATGGCTGATAATTTTAATACTGTTTTTCAGTGGCAACTGCAATCCCCATCTGTGTTCATGTGGCTCTGAATGCCTTCACTTGATACTTCTGTTCACTGTTCCCTTGTTCACGTTGGAATACAGCCCACTTCAGAAAACATGTGATTCAAATCATTTTCCTCAGAAAAAAAGGATCTTCTGAATGCATTAATGCATTCTCCCCTCACCCCTCTTCATATCCCTTACAGCCAGGCAGTTAGACAGAACCTGTGTAATACCAGAGAGAAATGTACAGCAGAGAAGTCTTTGTCTCTCATAAATATGGAGGGATGGTTCTTCACCACAAGTTTCTGAAATTGTAATAAGAGTAACGGGAAGTGTAGGGATGATAAGGCTTTGAGAGTATTTTCCAGGCACATGGAAAGTGTAGAGTGGAGCTCCGTCTACATCTTTGTTGCTTCCAGGATTATCTTGTCCCTGGATTTTTAGCAACAAAAAAAAAGATTGCTGTGAGTTGTGTCAGTTTGGCCATTTCTGCTCAAAGACAGCTGAGGTGTGGAGGTGAATCCTTCTCTAAGAATCTCATATGTCCAGTAGTACGTATATAACCCAGGCACCAGTGTGGTCCAGTCATGAGTCACCCTCCTCCTGCTGCAAAGGAGCACAGATGAAACTGATTTCTTTCCAGAGCAATGCTGTTCACTTTTTCCAGCCTGGAAACTTTAGATTGACAATTCAGAGCTAAATATAATCTGGCTGGCTACAGGGAGTGACTCAAATGCAACAAGCAAGTCTGGCCTGTCACCACTTCCAAAAAGCCCGATTGGCTTTTCAGCGTGAGTAGCAGAAGCAGGTGGGGAACTACTCTGAATTTTAATCTTTTTCTGTCCAGCTGTCCCATCCCCTATTGGCACAACTGACTTGAAGAATCAAGAGCCAGCCCTTGGTCTGAAATAATTCTTGGGGGCTCTTCCTGCTCCGGGGAAATGCTCCCTTAGCACTGCATGCAGAGTGTTGGCAGTACAAGTCCAGCAGCAGATTTCTCCTGCCTGGGCCGGATGTGAAGCACAGACCACAAACCATAACATCCTCCTTGGCAGTGGGGAGGAGTGGTGAGTCACTGGGCATGGTAGCTGTAGAGTAGCAGGATGATCTGCAAAGTCTGCAAGAGTAAACCTTGAGCATACCTGGTGTTATTGGGGCGCTGTCATGCTGCTGCCATAGTTGTAGTAGCCCAGAGGCTTCAGCTGCTGTCTAATCAGATCAGTGCATGTGAAAGGCAGAAAATCAGAATGCACATGAATTCACATAACTTAATACTATTTAAGTGAAATACCTTAGAGCCTGGACTCTGGGTGAGTACAGAAACAAGCTCAGCAAAGGCATTGCTGAACACTTGATTCTGAACAAGCTCTGAATACTTGGGAAAGTGGTTTGAGCAGGTGACATTCTTGCCTTCATCCAAAAAGGGACTTGCTGTTTATAGTCCAGAGCTGATCTACTCAATGTCTTGGAAACTCTAATAACAATAACAGAGCAGAAACCTCAGCAGTGACTCTCTTGCCAGGCCTGGCTCTTCTTCCTGTAAGACCTTTATCACATACTGCAGTTCCATGCTTGCTTGGGACTGGGGTTCTACCTGTTGTGCTAACAGTGGTGAGCTACTTTTGCAGGTTCATACAATACTTTTGTTTGAATGTAAACCAATGAGAAGGCTTATTCTGAAATGAGAAGTAGTGAAGTAACTTCCTTTACTCAGTGTTCTACCTTTCCCATTTTGCAAACCTAGACAAGATAGCATGAAGAGCTAGTTCATCTGAAGGCATAGCCTGAGCCTGGTTTTGGTCATGTGAAGGGAAAAGATCAGTCAATGTTGTCTCCATCTGCTGTCTGGATATGCTGACTCTGGATGTGATATCAAATGAGTTGATGGCAGAGGAACATGAAGAAAAAGATTATCCAAATTCAACACTAAGGGTTTCTTCTTCAGTTGTACTTTTTACTTTGTTTAGCTCCTGCTGAAGACTTTGAAGGTCTTCACAACAGCAACTTCCTTTTCAATAGTAACATTACCACTGAGCTAGCTCATCCTCTATGGACACACAAGTCATGAAGGTTATGAAACTGAAGTCTTTGGTTGTTGTTCCTCTTCTCTCCAGGTTTCTGAGTCCCCTGAACATGCTCATTGGTGGCACTGTGGTGGTGCTGGTTTTCCTGGGCTTTGTGTGGATGTCACACAACAAGGATGTACTCCGCAAGCTGAAGAAGCAGTACCCAACCACTTTTGTGCTGGCCATCATGCTGTCTAGCTACTTCTTGATCTCCTACCTGGGAGATGTCATGGTGTTCATGTTTGGGATCACGCTTCCTCTTCTCTGTAAGTATTAGTTCTCTTCTCTGGGGGGCTAGAGGTGTGGGACTTGAGCTTTCTCAACTAAGTCTGCAGAGTCTAAGTCAGCTGTTGACTTTGCTATCTGTGTTTAAGTGGTCCCAAAGCAGAACTGGGGGAGGGGACACAAAAGCAGCACAAGCCGTCTTTGATGTTATTATTAAATAGGTACCTGTGGTTACTTCAGCAGTCATTGATACATCATCATCTTCTAGTGACGTCACGGTGCTGGGATGTGCTGCAAGAACTATGCATTCCTTGGGCATGAGCAATTAATGAGTGTGTTTTTGTCACGCAGTGATGTTTGTCCATGCTTCCCTGAGGCTCAGGAACATACAGAACAAGCTGCAGAACAAGATGGAGGGGATAGGCCTGAAGAAGACCCCCATGGGCTTCATACTGGATGCTCTAGAACAGCAAGAGGATAGTATCAACAAACTGGCTGACTACATATCTAAAGTGAAGGAGTAAGCAGCTGCAATGTGGCATTTCTGCCTGTTGCAGGAGTGTAGTTGCTATTTACTATTGTTCAAGCTTGCTTTCAGTTTATGTACAAAACAGGAAATGCATGTGGTACAGGTTAATAGTTGCAGGATACAGGTATTCCAAGGTCTTCAGGGCTCCTCTAAGAACATACAAACAGCAACTTTTTTTCTATTGTATAGCAAAATGTTCTGGTGTTTACACAAATACATACTAACTTAACCATGTTTGCTTGTCTCTTCTTCTGGGGTAGAGGAGAAAGAGGTAGAAACCTATGGAATGCAGTCTCTCAAACTGTCTTGTAGCAAATTGGTCCATTAAAGCAACATCCCTTTCATCTCAGTTCTGAAATACTGCAGTTTAGCCAGGTTGTGCTGGTAGCACGTGTGGGCCTGGTGGTGCTCAGATGAGCTGGAATGTATCACAAGCAGGTATCTCTTGCATCCTCCAATCCCTCCCTTGAGTTCTTTGTGTTACAGAGACCACATTACCAGCTTAACTGGCACGTGGTAAAACTCTGCAGTGCTTGTACCCAGTCTGGGTTCCTGTCCTCACCTCACAGCCCTGAAACAGTCTAAATAGCTGTAAGCATGAAGAATATACATGGCACTGCCTGCCAGTCCCAGTAACATTCACCTTCAGGCTCTCCAAAATCATCATCCATAGAACTGCTCCCCTCTGTAGGAGAGCCAAACTTCCTTATGTACCAGCTAAACTCTGGCCAAGCATGGGAGAAAAAGAGATAGGCTGGATGAGCTGATAGATTGGATGAGTTTCTACCCCATTGATGTTTTTAAATACTGCTACCTTAGGACTTACCTGCTTTAGTCTGCACAAGCTGTTTGTAGATGGAGGTGTATGTGTGTTCTTGAGCGTGGGTCATCTTTTTCTTTCTTCTCACCCAGAATGCAAAGATACAGGTCAAACATGCATCTGTTGACTCTGTACTTCCAACACTCCTCAAAGGAATAAACTGAATTTCAGGTTTACAAGTAAAAGCAATAAATCTCAAGACACAATTTTTGAAAACCCATTCCAAATTCATGAAGATATTTGCCTGTTAAAACTCCTGATGTTGAAAGCAGTGAGGGGGATTCTTTTATATATACACAATTTAACTGCCAGCTCTGATGGAATCATCTTGATAACAGGAGCTTACCAACAACAGGGGGGGAAAGTTGTCCAGGTGAGACTCCATTTCAAATATTCTTTCATTTCTCTTTTCTAACCAAGTAATTAATTTAACAAAAAAGCAAGGATCCTTGAAGTTGAAGCTTTTATGTAACTTGCCATGCTGTTTTCATAGTGAACTGTGTAGAACTCTGAACATGTCATTCCATTTAAGTGTTAAGGTGATGAGTATTTATCAAAAATGTCTGTATATTCCAGCTGAAGAGTCAATGGCCTGTTCCTCACTGTAGCGCATGGTCTTTGTTTTTCAAGAACTGTTTCCACACCTAAACAACATAGTAGCCTATGACTTCATCATTACAGTAGCATTTTAAAAACTGCACAGTTATGAAGAAAAATAAATTCTAATGGTTGGAAACTCGAGCCTGTGCCTGTGTCTGTGGTTGGGGTGGTGGGAGATCTGCTGTCACCCTGTGGCTCGTGCCACAAGCCCGTGCTGGGGAGTGAGCTGCTGGCTCTGACTGCTCTGTGTCAGCTTTGTTGAGGCCTGAGGGATCTCTGAGCTGAAATGTTCCAGCCTTGCTTTTGCATCCTTAAACAGCTGCTCTACAGAGGTGGAATACTTACAGTATTTCTTCATGCAGCTTTGGTCTCTTATATAACTCACCTCTGCTTAACTGGGATTTCAAATTCTTGTTAATTACCTGAGAGGGATTTCTGCTTCCAGGATTACTGATAGCTGTGCCTTTGGATCAAGCAGCCACAGGAAGGTGCATTTTAGCACAGAGAAACCTTTGTTCTTTCCCTGTGCCTTATAGCTTTAAAAAACAAAGAAAAAAGTCCCTAAAACAATTGATCTCTTGTGGATGTATTTCACATGAGTGTGACTTACCTGTAGCTGCTTTACAAGAAAGACAGCAGAAGAACTAAATGTGATCATAAAGAGGGAGGAGAAAAAAAAAATCACAAAAATATTAAGGAAGAACTGAGTTGTGTATATACAGGTTTTACCCCTTCAAATCCAGCCCTGCCAGACTTGACATGCTATTCACACATCATGCTAGGAGGAATTAGGAGTTTCTTAAACCCTTGGAAAAGACGTGAGACTCATCCTCCTGCCACAAAAAGTGTGGAGAGAGACCTAAAATGGCATTTCAGTGTCCTCCAAGGTGGCTGCAATTAAGGATTGCAGTAAGAGAGTGGTGAATCACAGGGAATGAACATCACAGTTCCCAAAGCAGAGCATGGCATCATCTTTTAAATGTTGATCAGGTACAATACCCACTAGACATTGTTCTGAAATGGAGCTTGGAAGGTGTTTGTTGTACCAGAGCAGTCGTTCTGTGAGTGCTTTGTTAGCAATGGAAGTGCTGCACACTTCTTACAGAGAGAGCTTTATTTCATTTCTGTTTCCTTAGCCTAAAAAAATTGAAGCTGTATACATGGAAACCAAATACATTTCTCATGGACAAGAGAGTAATAAAGTAGCATGTGTGTGAAAAGAAAGATAAGATAAAGCACAGAGTGTTCCTGCAGAATCTGCCAGCACAAGGACAACGTGGAAGCAAAATAGTTTGCTGACAAACTAGAAAGACAAGGTTATTGATGCCTCTGAGAAAATACTCCCACAATAAACTGAAGCCTCAAATCCCCTTGGCAGACAGATGGCAGCGGGATTGGTTGATACCTGATGGAAACACTTAGCACTGACTTTTCCCATGCCAGCCGTTCTCACCACACTTATACAAGTGTGTATCACAAGCTTTGTTCCCAAAGAGTTGAATACACCACCTGGGTTCTGCAGAAAACATCTGCTGAAACAGTTGTAAGCAAAACTTGAATAGTCTTTATTCCAAGTTGTTTTCTTCAGGTCAGTCTGGTCTCTCACTCCAGCTGCTTTGGCAACGGCACCTGGACAAGGACATGAAGTATTAGGAGGAGGAAACTTATCAGGCCAGTTTAGTCTAATACAAACCCCCAGAAAATAAAATATAACAGCTGGGAACTCCAAGGAGCTCTGGTTGGGAGCTCTCTTTTGTTTGGAATGCCCCACTTGATGTTTGCAATGCTTAAGGTCCAGGAAATCAATTTGAAGGCCTTGAGTCCCACCACAGAGAGAATAAATACCCAGCTCAGCTCAAGCAGCAAAACTCCATTTCAGAAATAAAGCTGAGGGAATTAAGGCAAAAAGGAGTTACCAAGATCAAGGGGGATGAGGAGAATAACACCCTAATGCCCCAAATCTGAGACAAGTGGATGACAGAGCCTAAAAAAGAACCAACCCAAAAAATCCCCAAACAATCCACCAAAACAAACCACCCCAAGCCCCCAGTATGTGTGTCCATCATTTCATATTTCCATGGGCTGTGATGGCAATTGTTATCTGGCATATTTAGGATATACCATGCATTGATCTCTCTATCTTTAACCCCACAGCTCTCATGGATAAAATCCTCCTGACCATTCTGGGGGGATTGGCTGGGGCTCAGTATCACCCCTGGCACGTAGCAGCACCCAGGGTTCTCAACCACTGCTGTGCAAAATAAGGGCTGTGCCTGGCAGAGAACGAGTGCCACTGTCCTGCAGCCTCCTGAGAGCTGGGAAGGCAGCAGCTCCCACGGCCATGAAGGACCAACCTGCTGCCACCAGCACAATCTGTGAGCTTTCCACAAGCAGGTCTTGTCTGGGATGTGGAACCAAAATGCAAACCCTAGACTGGCCTAGAAAGGCCAGAAATGCCCTGAGGAGAGGCCTTGGCTGCAGCCGAGTTGGACTGGCCAGCAGAAACTCAGAACCCCAAACCTTGCCTACAGAACAGAATGTTCAGGGTAATCCTGGACCAGAATCTGAGGTCACTGCAGAACCTGCATCTGCCAAAATATCGGGACAAACTACTCTGTCTGGAATTACTGAGGAAATAATTATTTATTTGTAGGTATAAATGAAAGCAAAATTAGTCCCACTATATTAAAATGTCAGTATTGAAAGGAAAAAAATTTCAAAGTATTACTTGACTATTTTTAACTACAAGGGATTTTCTGTCCTCTTCTTTGAGCCTTGGCAACACAAACAGGCATCAAGCTACAAATACATCAGACAATAATGAATCAATTAATTAATTCAATTCCCTTGAATTAATGCAAGGGAATATAACAGGTCAGGAGAGCAAGAGGTTAAATCTGGTGGCCAGCATTTTGAGAAGAAGCTTTGAATTTGGTACCCAAGTGAAACCATACCCAAGAGGCAGTTTGCAGTTTTGAACTGGCATTCTAAAGTCAGGATGATCTTGAGCTCACTTGAATTGACCGCTGAGCCAATTTTCAGTGGCAAAGTTTTACTTGAAAACAAATACAAAACCTCCTACAGTACCACTACTTTCTTCCCACAACCTTGTTCCATCTTCACAGCTGGTGGATCTAATTTCTTTTTTTCCTGTTAGCATTAGAATTTTGCAATTGATCTACATAAGGACAAACAGAAGACCGAGGAGCAAAGGACCACTAAAAAAATACACTCCTTGTAGCTGGGTGAAGCAGGCAGGAGCAGGGCTGCAGATTAGGAGTCCAGGCTGGATTTCAGTGTGTGCCAAGTGACAGTGCTCTCTTGTGTGAAGTGAGAGCTAGGGGAAAACACAGCTATTGAAGGGAGAAACATGGGTCTTAAGGGGGACTAATGTGAAAAATAATACTGTTGTACTCCTGAAACAACTGTCTTATAATAGCATGGGCCTGTCATAACTAATACACTATTAGGAGTATAGTAAGGTTTAATTTCTGAGGGTTTGTTCACCTCCTGAGTGAATTTCCTTTATTTTACCTTGTGGATGCAGCCAGGGATGCACAAGGCTGCAGGCTTGGTGCTTGCAGTGAGTTCCCTGTGCAAGCCATACCTCAGTGCTGCTGGAAAACAACCACCTGCAGCCTGACACAAAAGAGTGGCAATGCCATGGGGAGGTGCATTTGCCTGTTGCCCTGACTTTTAAAAGTGTTAAGTTTTCTTTTATAGTTCTTTTGAAAGTTCTAAAGTTCTCATCAAACTTCTTTAGCCTTCTGATAATATTTACATATTTCCACTAGAGTTCTCATGCACTGTTCATATAAATAATGATTGCTGTGCATTCTTCTTTGTGGGAGGAGAGAATTAATGGACTGTTGTTTTGACCAGTGTGGTTGGAGAGGTGGTAATTCCATCCTCCAATCCACAGTCACCTTTAGAATTCTATAAATACCAGCTGTTTGAACAAAACTTTCTCTTTTTTCTCCTTTGAACTTACCAAGCTTCTGTGTACTCATTTCATGTCCAGTAGCAACATTTGCCAGCCCTGCCAGTGCCCAAAATTCCCAACCAGAGCTCAGGGCAGCCATTCCCTCCCCTCAGAGGCGCCACTCTGCACTCACCGGCTTGAGATAAGCGACGTTGCTCTGGCGGATGTCGTTGAGGAGCTGATCTCTGGGGGTTATCTCTACCAGGGGAGGGGGTCTTCTCCTGGGAATTGGTTTAAGTGTTTTGATGACATCTTTGAGGTTGGTTTTCTCAGCAGGCTCCACGTACTCTGGCACAGGGGGTTTGCGCTGAGTCTTCTTCAGCTTGACCACTTTGAAGCTGATGGGTTTCTCTCTGCACGGCTGCTCGGGTGCTGGTGGCCTCGTGTTCTCCTGCCTCTTGCTCAGTGACACAGCTGCAGGGACGGGGGGTTTAGGGGCTTGTGGGGGCTCCTGCATCCTCAGCTGGGGCAGTGGCACTCCCAGCATTTCCCACATCCCGGGAGGCAACCCAAGTCCATTCTGCAGCATGGCTATCAACTCTTTCTGCTCTTTCATCTGCTGCTGCCTTTGCCCCTCTTGCCTCTTTTGCCTCTGCTTGTCCAGGTTCCTGCTGAGCAGGTTGGTCACCACCATCCTGGGCCCCGGCAGCTCGAAGTGATACCCCATTTTGAGGAGGGTGTTGTTGGCTTTCAGCAGCCTGGCGATCTCCATCTCTGCCTGGTGGCCCAGCAGGCCCCTCTGGTTGTGGAAGCGGAGCTCCGTCAGCGTCTCGTTGTACTGCAGGCAGCGCATGATGGCCACGATGCCTTTGCCAGAGATGAAGTTGGAGTCAATGTTCAGGGTGGTGATGCTCCTGTTCTCCCTCAGCATGTTGGCCAGTGCGAACGCCACGTTGTCGTCGGCCCCCACGTTGGCCAAGCTGAACGTTTTTACGTTCTTATTCTTTTTCATGGCGTTGACAAAATCTATCAGCATTTCCTTGGGGACGTTTTCTATGTTGTTCAGGTTGAGCTCCTTCACATCTGGGTTGTTTTTTCGGACTTTCTCCAAACTGTCTTCTAAATTGGTTTGATTTCCTGAGGGTCTGGCACTTAGTTTCATGAAGCTGGTATCCAGCGCTAACTTCTGGGGGATGTTCAATTTTGATATTTTCTTTTCATTTTCCTTAGGCTTTTCTTTGATATCTCCTGGTTCTGTACCTGGCTTCTGACTTATCTGGTTGATGTGACTGCTCTCATTGGTGTAATTCTCATTTGTTTCCAATTCAGTCTCATTTTCTTCTTCTTCTTCTTCCTCTTCATCATCTTCCTCTTCCTCCTCTGCTTCTTCTTTCTCATTCTCCTCCACCACTCTCTCCTCATCACTTCTGTCTTTCTTTGTGTCCCCAGGTTGTGGTCTTGACTCAGACACGTGCTCATTTTGGTAATGTCTCTCTTTTCCCTCTGTTCCTGGCATCCTCCCGCCAGCCACCTCACCACTGCTGCCAGCCCCTCCTTCCATCTCCTCCGCAGCACTTCTCTGAGGAAGACAAAACCTCACAGCTGAAATAGTTGCAGAACATCTTTGTTACAATAGCTTTCTGCTCAAATAAACACGTAGCAGCTGGATTTAGATCCCTCTTTGCCCATACAGTAGAGAATAATCCTTAAAAGTCTCACTGCTGTAAATTCAGGCTGTACTAGCTTGCTTGGGAACACAGGAACAACTTGCTCCTAAAGAGGCTGCAAACCAGTTTCTTATCTTTGCCTACTAAATTAAGTCCTAACAATTAAATCATGAACATATTTAATGATATGTTAAGATGGTCTTTGAACCCTTCTGGGGATTAAGAGTTTCTGATCCAAAGTCTCTTTCTGGATTTAGTGTAATCTTCATAATTTCTTTGACAAGAGAGAAGGTTTCCTTTGTGTGCCACAAAGCATTGGACATGAGGGTGAACCCCTGATGGTTTGCTCAGCCCAAGGAGGAGTGAAGAGGGGTCATTGTGACCACTGTGGAACCATCCAGCACAAGGGACACCAAGGCCACCTGCTCTGGCAGTCCCAGAGCATCACACCTAAGGCAGCACCTCACTGAAGATAAAATATTAGCTCAGTTTGGAGTCCAGAGATAAGAAACCAGCCCCTGCATGAAGCAGCTGCAGGGCAGTGAGGCTTCTACCATCCAAATAAATTAATTGCAAACATCTACCAATTCCAGAAACACTCCTTGCTGAGATTTTTCTTTGTCAAGTGTCTTTTTGCAAGGAGTTCCTCCACCACAGAGAAATCCTAATAAAATCAAGCTATTCCCCTCAGATTTGCACTCTTCAGGCAGGACAGTGTCATGGCTTATGCTGCACCCAAAGTCAGACAAAATGGTCCCAGTCACTTCTGCCCTTGGGGCTGTGGTGGTGAGTGGGTTTGGGTGGGGATTGCTTGACCAGCTGTGAATGCAGCAGCCAGCTCCACACCCAGGTTTCAGATTTAACCTCAGAAGTGTTTACAGAATTATTTCTTTGAGTACAAGGGTATTGCAGGAGGAGAAAAAATCCCACAGGCAGCCCATGAAACCTGCCTTGGGAAGTCTGGGATGTGCCACACTGGTGTGTATTAGCAAACCACTGATATTCAAAACAAAAGTAAAATAAATCAGTTACCTCAAACTCACTTCTAGTGAACTTCACATTCAAGTATGGATGTGTTTCATCTGGCCAAGTTTCAATTCTATTAACCTATTTTAAGTGTAGCCCTAATCCTGAAAGATATCTAAGTATGACCTTAACTTCATTTCAGTCATGGGCATAGTCAAATAAATTTAAACACTGTATTGAGTAGAGCTGAACTTGTTCAAGAGTTTGTAGGCTTGGTTGTTAATGCTTTATCCTGTTAAAATAGAGTGATTTGGGATTTTTCTCCAGTACGTCATTAAATTCTGTCAATTAATAATTTAATTTGTATGATTAATATAATCTTCCATGGAAAAGCAACGTGGTGCTCTTCCATATGCAAAAATCAAACTAATTAGAGTTACATCCTCCAAAATGATCTTGTGACAGTTTCTCAGTGATTTGCTTTACTCAAATCAGAATTAGGATTTTTTTTTTCTATTAAAAAGCTTACATAAATATTTGGGAAAAGCAATTAAAAAATTACTAACCCTGACATCAGTCCAAGCTGGATTCTATCACTGATGAGGCTTTTAGGATTAATCTATATTTGTTTGTACTCTACCTTACGTAAGGGACAGAAGCAGAGGCAGGTTAAGGTATTAAAGCTACAAAACAGATCCCACTGCTGATGCATAATAAATATTTGTGATTTTTTGCTTGTTACCTCAGAGGGCAAGAGGGTGACAGGAACTCTCTCATCCTCGAGCATGCGTCTGGATGCCTTCTGCCAGTACAGGTAGTCAACCAGGGACCTGTGGTCGAAGCTCCCTGTGGGGGGTTTCTCTGTCTGATTCCTCTGTATCATCCCAGTTGGGATTTCAGGGTCTGGGGCCATGACTTCCATCTCGCTCTGCAGCTCCTTCAGCTCCTCAGGGGACAGGTTAGCCAGGATTTCATCCTCATCAATGTCCTCGGGACACACGTCTTCGTCGGAGTTTTGGCCAAGTTCAGACATGTTCATTCTTCCCTCCTTCCTCTAAGACTTTTTAAACCTAAAGAGAAAGATAAATTTCAAAGGATTTCCTTTTTTTCCCCCCCTCACTAGCAGTGGTTGATCTGGTTAAATCAGCAAGTTCATGTTTTGGTCCTGAGCTGTGGCAGCTCCCAGGCTCAGTGTGGGACACAGCCCGTGCAGCTAAGTCTATATTAAGCTGCACTTGGCTGGATAAAGAGAATTTATGGCGATGCTCCATTTTCAGCAACCTGTCAGCTGTGCAAACCCTTCTGACATTTCAGTGCAGCTGGTGTGTCCCCCACTGAGGGAGGCAGAAGACAGACATGTTCCAGAGGATTCCCAGGACACTGCACCGCTCAGGGCGTCACCCTGGAGCTGCCAGAGCAGGATGAAGGGACATCAGTGGCACTTGTGAGATGTGCAGGTGAAATCTGGCCTCTGGGAAGAATCAGAAAGGTCTCTGTGTCCATAACATCTCCAATCTGTCTCAAAAGGACCAAAGACCACAGGCCCTAAGCTGCTTTTGGCCAGGTCTAGGCCCTGGCTGACTGTCACAAGGGGTTTTGGTGTGAGTGCAGCCACCTTTGCTTGGTGACCTCTCCCAAGCCTCACACGCTGGTCAGGAGAAAAGTCCTCCAAGGTGAAAAAAGGTGGGTAGAGCTGGTACAATATGCACCTTGTACCTGGGGACAGAGGTCCATGCAAGGACAGGCAGCAGCCCCTTGAAGCAGCCTGAGTTCTCCCAGGGAAGCATTTCCCATGGCACATCCCTGCTCCCATCCTGGGCAATGCCGTGCCTGCTTCTTGACTGGCCTGGCCCTGTCATGGACATCATTTGCAACATCAACTCTTTTTGGCCGGCATTTCATCTCAGGCTCATCCTTCTCCTACTTCTTACCATTTTTTTTTCAGAATTAATAAGCTACTACAAAGATTCACTTTGTTATATTTGTAGACCGGATGTAACTCCCCAAACTCCTTTTTAGTTAGGTGTCTATTTCATCCAAGTGCTTCCTTCTTTCTTCAGAATATTTTATAGGCTGCTAAATTCACACAGCAAACCTCCAACCTCACCATATGCATGGTTTCTCTGTAATAGTAAAGTAGCAAGGGTGGCTGATTTTGCTACTCACAGTTGGAACCGTTCATTGGATTAGGAAGATTTCCTCTCATCATTTCAAATTTTCTTTGCAGGGGTATCAAATCAAATCCACACCTTGCAAATGCAGCTTTCACAGGAGTAAAACCATGGGGGAGAGGCTAAGAAACCATGCCCTGACAATTTTTAAACCATATTTCTCATCACAGTCTCAACCATGCTCTCTGCTGGAGTCTGCCAGCAGCAAAATAGGCTCTGCATGATGATGGTGTCTCTTTGCTGTATTTTGCAACATGAAACATTGAGTTCTAAGACCTGTTAACCTCTATTAAAAGTCCATTATCCAAAGGTCCTCATTTGAGAAATGCTGTTACACAGCAGGGAAGAGAGAAAAAACTTAAGAACAGAATAAGTGGCAAAGGAAAAGATAATAAAAGCCCAGGCCAAGAATGCAATGGCTCCATTTGCCCCTTTGGTATTTCAGGGATGTCCTTATCCTTGTTTTATATTATGCAGTAGCAAGCACAACAACAGACCCACACATCAATCTATCTGCTCCAGCAGCTCTAACCCCCAGTGATTGCTGCCCATAATAGAACCCATAAATGGGTTCCTGATGGTCCCAAATAAATCAATGCTCTTCAGGAGCTGGAATGCCACTCTCCCAAACGATGCAGTTTGGGCCACAGAAGCTGTCTATTCAGTGCTTACTTCTCACTTGCTAATTTCTTGCCTGTAAATAAAGCCCCATGCCACCTTCTTGGGTTTCCATGATCTTCAGCCAGGACATTTTGGGCCATGGTCTTGTCAGATCATCTAAGTTAAGCAGGGCCAAACCCATGAAGTCCTCTTGAGAGGAAAACAGGAGTACTGAGAACACTATCAGGTGTTTGAAAACCACTTTTTCTCTTAAGCAGGAATATATCACTTGTCAATACCACGATTAGGAAACTCTATACTGGGAATGATGCCTTCCCCACCAGATGCAGAGCAAGGGGCTTCCTGGTGACACCTCTCCTGGTGACATGGGTGCTAATCCCACAGATTTCCAAGGTGGGTATCATATTTTGCCTACTTTAGGTCTCTCCTCCATAAATTATGTTTCCAGGATGTACTTCCTTTCCTAACACACTGCTTAGTGTTTTGGTGTTCTGGTAACAGCACATTAGAGCAACAAACAACACTCTTGAGGTGAGGACATGCTCACGGTGGGTCTAAAACACTTTTCCAAGTCTAAACTCACATCTTCTTCCCAAAAACATTTGTTGGTGTTCCCCTCAGAGCTTTCCAAAATAATCACACATTTCTCAATCTTCATTAAGACAGGAAAGCCACCTCCACTGGTGACACTTGCTATTTCCACACCAATGTGACACTTGTTCAGGAATCCCCGGGCTAACAAGCTGCTGCACTGGTACCAGAGGGCAGAGCTGTGCTGTGCCAGGGCTGCACTCAAAGCCCCAGCAGGAGACAAGAGGAACCTGCAGCAATCACAGAGCAATTCCTACAGGCAGTAGCAGCTCAAAACTCACACTAAGCAGGCACCCAACAAGCATTAAACAAAAAACTTGAGGAGCACATTGACAGAAGGAGAGGTCTGCCCTTGGTAATGAACCATTCTGACTCGCTGCTCGCTGTTTGTAAGGCAGGTGCTCACATATGGATGAACTCTGGAATGAAACCAGCAGCTTCTCCTGCAGGATTGCTTCACCTCATTGATTTTTTTTTTTTTTTTCTCATTTAAACGCTCTCTTCAAAAATTCCAACACAGCCCTCTTGAAAGCCAAAAGGTTGACAAGTTCTTAGCTTGAATATCAGGAAGGCCTGACTGCTGTGTCACGATTCGACAGGCAGCCCATATTTTGAGTGCCTAAAACTGTTCTATTTTTAAGGTAATTGATGGGACACATGCTGTGGCCAAATATTGGAGAGCAATTTCTATAATGTTGGGTTGTTTTTTTTTTTTCTTAGAAATCTCCCCACATTAATTCCCTCTATTACCAATCTGTGGCATTTCCAAATGCAACTGGAACAAGCCAGAGAATGTGCCCATGTAACATAACCTTGCATTACTTTTAAGAAACTCGTAGGCTGATGGGAGAGTCTAAAATTGACAATCAGTAGCACACACCAAGCATGTCCAGCAATGCAGTGTAACCCAATACAGGGATTATAAAGGATCAGATGATGGGATCTGAACAATAACAACCACTGAGGAATGGGAGCAGTCATAGAGAGACACCCTGTGGGAAAAACACCAAGGGGAAAAAAAAATCACTCACCACATCTCCAAACTCTTCCAGATATAAATATATCAGATTAAGTTTGCTGCTTAAATAGAGTAAGGACATCTGACTTTAGAAGTATTTGCCCAAGACAGGGAGCTGCAAAGTCAAACCCTGTGAGAAGCAGCAGGCACAGCAGGCTGGGTCAGGGCAGGGGGGAGCAGCAGGGATGGGGGTATGAGCCCTCCACTGCTGCCCCAGCTCAACCAACCACCACATGTCACTGTGCTGAGATCTCTCATCATCTCCCATCATCTCTCCCATCATCACTGGGTTGATGTCTTGTAATTTCCTCTGCCTCTAGAGAAACAAGCAGAGATGTGTCTCCTGTTTCAGTGGGACCTGGATGCTTCTAATTTGCTCCCCCCAAAAAGAACTTGGTGATTATTTTTTTTTTTTTTTTTTTTTAGTTTCCATTTTTAGAGAAATCTGAGAGCAGCTACAGTACCTGTGCAGTAGGAAAAACCTCTGTCATCATCCACCTTCTTGATTACAGGGAAAAAAAACATTAACAAGTGAAGGGAGAAAAAGGGAGCATGGAGAAGACTTTGAATATGACAGAAATCAAGGACAGAACATTTCAGCCTGGGGCAGGACACTGACCACCCACAGTGGCCTGTCCAAAGCAATCCTGTAGAGAAATGCATTGGCAAATCAGATGTGTATGCCTTGGTTTGTATCAAAAAGGGTTAAATAATCAGCAAATTGATTTCTAAATAATTTCAGCTGTTTAAACCATTAAAAAATATCAAAACCTCCATGATTTTGGGGTAGGAGACAGCCCCACATACGAACACTGACACTGAGATGTTGCTGGTGGGGGTCTGGAGATGACACTAAAGCCAACTGAGCTGATCCTGGCAGTCTGGGCTGACCCAGGACAAACCTTTGCTCCATTCAGAGCCAAAACCTGTTCCAAATCTGACCCCCAAAGACTGACTTTCTGGGCTTGCTTGCCACTGAACAGCACTACACCTCTCCTGCCATCTCCCAGATCATTTTTACTGACCACATTCTAAAGAGGCTGGAGCAGCACTCCCAACACAGCCAGGGGGGCTGCTCTGCACCCTGTTCTGTTACACAGAGCAGTTCTGGGGCTGCAGGAGGGAATTTCTGCTCCCAGATATCATTTATAGCACAAACATGGGCAAAATGCTGAAACACTCAGCACTGGTTTCTGCTAACTTGGTATTTTCCTTTCCCAGCTTGTTGTTTATGCGACCTTGGTGAAGCATTTGTAAATACCTGAATGTTTTCATCCCTGGGTGGTGGTTTGTTACCTCTTCTTCCCAAAGCACAGTGCTAACAGCTGCCAAAAGGAGCAGAAAACCAGCCCTGTGGTGAATAAAAACAGGTCTGTGAGAGACCATGAGTAATTCTGTTATTTTATGGGGAGCAGGCAATTCATGATGTTTGTTACCTGACTACAACTTCAGGGACTGAGCCACGCCTCTACCTGGGACTTATCACCCATGGGCAAACCCAAAATGTGCCCTGAGCTGCCTCAGTGGGGCTTCACCTCCTTTGGGACAGAGCTGAGGCTGGTTATGGCCATCAGAAGGGACACTAAGCCCTGCACCAGGGACTGGCTGGGGACAGAGACCCTGGGGCAGCCCTGGCTCCTGTCTGATGGGCACAGCTCACCTGGAAATGAGACCAACACGAGGCTGAACCGTGGTACACACATTTTTTATAGAGGTGCACAGAGAGAAGTGAAAGAGAAAATAATTTCTATTCCTGCTCCCTGTTTTTCCCATGTGGAATGTGTTTGGAGAATTGTTTACCTGGGGTGATTGCTTGGTTGGATT